TTATGACAAGGAATTCACTAACTTTCCAAATGCCAAGTGGTAAAACCAGAACATCAACAGTTGATGTAACGGTATGCTGCTGGTACATTGGCCACCACATCCAGGAATTAAAACAGTTTATGGCAGTTTTACTAACTTAAAACAATAACATAAATCTGCCTGGAGGATGAAAGAAGCAAGGCGCATGTGCACACATCCCCTGTCCTGTGGTTTGCATCTAATTTAACTCTCTTTTTATTATAGGATAATGGAGAGTTATGTCTCCAGAGTTTCCAGTGCAGAAGCAAATGTTGCCACAGGGTTAATGGGTTAAGTATGGCTCGCTGTGCAAATAAAGCAGCTGAGAACCAGGAGTGTTCCCGTAAGGTAGGTGACATTTCCTGCTGTGTAGCACTTAGTGACTTATGGTTTTGCTGGCCTTTATTCTCAACAGTGAAGGAAGTTGGTAGAAATACCACAGGGCATTTAAGAAGAAAGAGGTAGGCAATCTCAAGGTGGAGTCTGGAGTTTTCTTGGAACTACAACTGATCTTCAGATTATAGAGATCAATTCCCTTTCAGAAATGGCAGTTTACCATAGTGTCCAGGAGAAATGGAAGTCCTAGAGTGGCTACAGAGGTTGGATGCTCTAGGTCTTCCACTTCTCTTATGGTGTACCATAGAGTCTAGGTGAAACTGATTGGGTTTTGCCTATAAAGACACTAAAGGCCAGAGGCTGGCTAGGAGTTGCAAGAGAGGTGGAACTGCTGTTGGCTGACATCCTCTGGCTCCTATGGGACTTCAAAGTGGATTGTCCTCCTTATCATTAACAAAAACCTGAAGAAGATTTTGAGGGCTTTTTTAGGTTGAGTGGAACATAACTGGATAAGCAGCCAGTTCAAACACATATATTTAGGATCAAAGGGTTAGTATGACATACGGAGCACATGCACACAAAAGCCTACAAGTGATGTTAGATGGGAGAAAAAGGTGGGAGAGGGAGTCATGTGAGATGAGGAATTTAAATTTAAAATTTGAATATTGGTGGGGAAGTGACATCACAGGAAGGGGAGCAGTTGGAGCAGCTGCCAGTTGACTTGGATTTGACATCAGAGGATGTATCACATCCCTACTGAGCTCCCTCCCCAGCACTACCCCAGATCTCCAGGAATTTCTCAAGCCAGAGTTGGCAACTCTAGAGGCATGTATTTAGATCTGGGAAGAATCAGTTGTGTATGCTAACCAAGGAGCAGAACTGAAGATCCCTAGGTTCAATCTCCAATCAAAGCATCTCAGATAGTCGAGCTGGGCAAGGTTTTTGCCCAAGATCTTGGAGAACCACAGCCAGCTGGAACTAACAGTACCAGCCAAGATGGACCCATAATCTGCCTCACTCTAAAGCAAATTCATAATTTATGAATGGGGGGGGGGGGGAGAGGGAATCATAAAGTTAATAGCAAATATTACATGCCCAGGGAAATGCTGATTGCCACTTTGGCTTCAGGAAGCAATTGTTCTCCAGGCCAGTTTGGCCAGGGATCCTGGAGGGCTGGGTTCTTTTGCACTCTTCTGGGAATAGAGCAGGGGTCACTGGGTGGTGGTGGGGAGGTCTTTGTAAATTTCCTGCATTGTGCAGGGGGTTAGACTAGATGACTCTGGAGGTCCCTTCCAACTCTGTGATTCCACGAAATAATGTCAAAGGCTGAGAGGGTGCTGTAGTTTGTAGAATGGAGGAGATGCATATTAATTTTTACACTGGAAAAGGAGTATGTTCTAATCTATATCTTTGTCTCCCCTGCAGCATCTCATTGGGGTTTACTACAGGTGTCCCTGTGAGAATGGCTTATCTTGTGATGCTGACAGAACTATTGTGGGGATCATCACCAACACAGACTATGGCATTTGCCAGGACCCAGCAAACCAATACAAAATCAATGATGAAAGCAATTGAAGATACACAGATGCTCCTCTGTGCCTCCCTATAGTGATGCAGCTGTCACCACTTTCAGGGTGAAAATAACTCCTGTCCTTGTGCATTTCTTACAAGGTCCCCAACAAACCAGCTGTTAACATTTTTCTTGTCTTTTCCATATTTGCATTTGTCCTTGTTGCTTAAATAGTCTGTTGTCAGAATATACAACCAGCTCCTTGTCCTAACCTGCTAAATGTCTTTTTCAGTATATTGTTGTGCATCAACACATCACAGCCATATTTTCAAATCTTTGACATCCATTTCCACAATTCAGTTACAACTGTATGTGTTGCATCTTTATGTCTAGAATGTTATCTGGCATTCCTAAAAATGAGCTCACAACTGCAACAGAACCAGTGGTTCTCCCTGTTGGAAATATGTGTGTTGCAAGGTCTAAAATCCAGTAATTATAGGGTTAATGTGCTTACCTTGTGTGCTATTGTTTAGACTGACCTGGAAGGGAATCTGGCAGAAAGCCAATGCAAAGAAAGCCTGGGAAACTGAAGCCTATTTACTAACAATCATTGGTTAATGGTGATTTCCTTTTAGGGGTCAAAAAGAAACGAAGAATCTCCATTACTATCTGTGTGTCTGTTGTTGCAAGCATGTAGTCTTAAGTGTTTGTTTTGTAGATTTTTCTGTGTACCCTTCTGTATAGAAATATTGCTTCTATATTGACATGCCTTCTCCTGTGATGTCTTTTGATAACATGCTGTGTCTTGTTTCCTGTTGCAAGCCAATTGGTGAGGCCACATGGCCTCAATAGCCATGCCATAAACCCACATTCTTTCACACTTTCATGCCAAACGCCAGACTCATGGCTACACTTTCTGGCCCACTTGCGACCAGTCACATACACAATGAAGTAGCTGGGGTTTGGGTCAGATGACTGCAGGCAGGGTCTCCAAACTTCCAGCCAATCCCACAAACCTGATGTTAGCAACCATGGCAACCAACAATTGGGCACACCCATGTCCACTCGCAATTGGCTGATGGTCACATCTAATTTGTGACTGGAATTGGGGTATAATTGTTTGATCCCTATGGGAGTGAGCTCTCTTGCTTTTTGCTTAGCTCTCCCTTCCTCCTCTTGTCATTGTCTGTTTTATTGCACCTGAAATGCTGCTTCTTGAGAGACAAAGAGTTGCTTTGTGACTTGGAGCACATGGTGTGCAAAAATAGGATTTCCCTTCAAAATCCCTTGGTACGTGGACTATCTTGGACTGAGGAATACTCCTGACGTGGTAACTATGAATCATTAATGTTCAGTTAAGGCTTTGTTATTTTTGTAATCTCTGGTAGTCTATGCTAAGCTCTGTACTGAATAAAGAGCCTTCTTATTGCTAATTTGTCTCTGATGTTGTAACTGGATTCCAAGTCTAAACCTGGTGCCTAACCCTGACCACATATGCTACCTTGGTAAGAGTGTGCATCTCTAGATTGAATTGCTAATGTGTTAAATTCCAGATGCTAACTAAGGGCTGGAATCTCTCCCTTAGGAAAGGCAGGGACTAGTGAAAAGAGGTTCTGGTGGCAAATTGTTGTGAAGACCAGAGATGGTACAGACTGTCTCGTGGCTTGTTGTTTAATGTAATGAAAAGTACAGGATTCCCTCCCATTCTTGGACTGGCCTGGGTGGGCAAATCCCTGTACACCTTCCCTTTAGAAATAAAGATTTTTACATAGAAAGAAAATGCCTCCTCTCCAGTGAACAAAGATCCATTGCAACCTCTGAATATTTAACTATTTTTACCAGTTTTCCAACACACCCCACCTCTATTTCTTTCCACTTCTTTCTGTTTGTGACAGATATTGCACCCCTAGCTAGCACAAGGCACAGGAAAGCACTGCATTCATGCCCATTCCCTCTTGGCTCTGGCTCAGAATCCATTCTATCATTCCGTGATAATCTATCCCATATATATAGTACAAAACTCCTGGGCTGGTTCTAGAGCTGCTGACTGAGGGACACAGGCTGCCCGCCTAGGTCTAAGATCCAAGAGCCAGTCTGTTCTTGCATTTTGGCTGGACCAAAGGCTTGTGCCTCTCTGGTAATGCCCAGAATTACATTCAGACCCGATCTCATTCAACAGGCAGAGGTGTTCTCAGACTTCCCTTGTATGCATTTCTGGAGATATTATGGTGTGTGACATCACTGCCTCTTGAAATAGTAGGTCAACACCTGTTAACTAAAATAAGACAGGACCAAAGATGGAAAGGAAGGCAATATTGAGAGGCAGATGCAACTTCAGATTGATTCAGGAAAACCTCTTGCTTTGGGGAGTATAGTCAGAGACTTCCTTTTCTTAGCTGAATGTCAAGGGTCACTCACAGACCATCTTCACTGGGGAGATCACTTCCTACTAGAGCAATGGTGGATCATTATCAAACTGTGAAGACAGATCCAGCTACCTGCCTTCTATTGCTAAGGGCAATTGAAATACACAATTCCTACTGATTGTGGCTAAGGGTTTTTCCAAACAGAAGAGTTTGTGAGAGTCAGGCATACTGAAGTAGTGCAGCTGACAACTACAGTCCTCTGAGAAGGAGACTGGCAATTAGCAGGATCAGCACAAGTAGCACAATCATTAGGATGCAAAACAATTAAGAGCCATGCCAAACCACTTCAGAAACCAGTACTTTTTATTTGAGGTAATTCTGGTTCCTGCATTGGTACTACCATTACTGAGGAAGCTGTCATTTACTTAAGTATATTTCTCTTCCAGTATTGGTTGATTATACAAGTGTGATCTAACGTAAACTCCTTTTCTTTTCACTGCCTGCAAATGCTGGGTCTAGCTGGGGAGAACTGTGAACAGCTTTCATCAGAAGAATTGATGGGGAACTTGATCCTTTGGGACATGTTTATTTGTTTACTCAGGGCTTTTTTTGTAGAAAAAGCCCAGCAGGAACTCATTAGCATAATAGGCCACACCCAACAGTAGAAATACATTAGCATATTAGGCCACACCGCTGACAGAGCAGCTCATTAGCATATTAGGCAACCCCCAGATTACCAGAAGTGTGGTCATCCAGCCACACCCACCTTTTGCTTCTTATTCTCTTTACCTTGTTTGTTGTCAAAACCAGGGCTCTTTTTGTAGCAGGAACCCTTTGCATGTTAGGCCACACACCCCTAATGTAGCCAATCCTAATGAGTTTCTGCTGTTGAGTGTGGCCTATTATGCTAATAGGTTCCTGCTGGGTGTGGCCAACTTGGGAGCCAGCCAGAACTCCGTTCCTGTGCGTTCCTGCCCAAAAATAGCCCTGTGTTTACTTCTTTTGTCATATGGCTTTCTTGCTGAGACTCAAGGCATATTACTGAATTATAAAAGACAATGAAATAAATGCATGACAGTGTAAACCATGAATAATGCAATTAAAATGAGTTATACAAATTATAGAACAATATTGTCAGCAATCAGACCCCTCTTCCTGCAGAGGGGCAGTTTAGCACTTAGAGAGAGAATGATATAAACACCCTTCATACAAATATCACCTCAAAAATAATAAATGTAAAGAAACTGGCTGGCCCAAAATGACACAAAACCAGCAAAAGACAAGTCAGAGACAAGACTGAGAAAACATTTTTGAAGGTGAGTCAGAAGTGGCTGACTAAGGATCCTCTCCTCACCCTAGGGAGATGCATAAGTTAGGAACAATGAGTCTCCCAAGAAACTATTGCCTCACATTGTACTAATCTCAACAACTGTCCAGCCTCTCTTCCCTCTCCCATTTACCTTAATTTGGTATATTGGTTAAGAGTGCGAACTCTAATCTGGGAGAACTGGGTTTGATTCCCTACTCCTCCACATGCAGCTGCTGGAGTGACCTTGGGTCTGTCACAAGTTCTCGAAGAGCTGTTCTCTCAAGAGCAGTTCTCAAAGAGCTCTCTCAGCCCCACCTGCTTCACAGGGTGTCTGTTGTGAGGACAGGAAGGGAAAGGAGATTGTAAGCCACTCTAAGACTCCAAGTGAAGGGCGGGGTATAAATCCATCTCTTCTTCTTCCTCCTTTTAATTATGCAATATTTAACACCATTCATGAACCCTGGTCATCAAGAATCATTCACACCTGTAGGAAAGCCCATTAAACTTCTCCCAAATCATTGTTTACTCTCCAAAAAACCAATCAAGTTATTGTTTGAGGGGGCAAACACGTCAGCCTGCCCTCAGGGAGCATTTTGCCCTATATCTGGACTACACAACCATCTCTCTCTGTGTGTTCTGGGACCCATACATACACCCTCGCCTTCTGTGAGGTCCTTCTCTTCTCCATGAAATGCTGGTTGTTTTTGCTGCTGCCTCCATGGACCTCCTTCTTTGAGACTGTATTATATAGCCTTTCCCTAATTGCTGTCCCCCCTCATGGATCACTGCCTTGTCGTGGCGAGGGGGCTTGAGCAGTTCAATGAAGCTGTGGGCTATGCCGTGAAGGGCCACCCAAGACGGACAGGCCACAGCAGAGAACTCAGACCAAGCGTGATCCACCTGGAGAAGGAAATGGCAACCCACTCCAGTATTTTTGCCAAGAAAACCCCATGGACAGTATCAAAAGGCTAAAAGATATGACGCCGGAAGATGAGCCCCTCAGGTCGGAAGGTGTCCAATATGCTACTGAGGAAGAGCAGAGGACAAGTACAAGTAACCCCAGAAAGAGTGAAGCGGCTGGGCCAAAGCCGAAAGGACGCTCAGTTGTGGATGTGTCTGATGGTGAAAGGAAAGTCCAATGCTGCAAAGAACAATACTACATAGGAACCTGGAATGTAAGATCTATGAATCAAGGTAAGCTTGACGTGGTCAAAAATGAGATGGCAAGACTGAACATCGATATCTTAGGAATCAGTGAACTTAAGTGGACAGGAATGGGCGAATTTAACTCAGAAGACCATTATATCTACTACTGTGGCCAGGAATCTCGTAGAAAAAATGGTGTGGCCTTTATAGTCAACAAGAGAGTGCAAAAGTCAGTACTGGGATA